CACTCACTGGAGAGACAGAGAGACAGAAAGCGAAAAATCACCCCCCGGTGGGGGATGGTCACACCACAATCCCTTCTCCTCCAGTCTCCTTTCAGGACTTTGGGCACGCACACACACGTGCCTGGCGTGAGTTTCAAGCTGTCAGGTCCGGGACCTGAACCACAGTCAACTACATGGGAGTCCAGTGGCATAACCATATGCCATCTGCTCGTACCAAGAATTTCATTGAAATTTTAAAATTCCAAAATAGTGGTTCCTGAATCAACTCTCTTCAGGACCCTGTTAGTATTTTATTACATTCCATTAATAATATTTTCTTTTTCTATTTTTTTAATGCCATAAGGTATATTAGCATGAGAGACAGAGAGAGACAGGACCCCTCAAAGAAGCTGGTCACTCTGCAATCCCCTTTTCTCCATCTATCCAACCCATCAAAATCCTGGACAGGCACTCACAGTGTGTTCTTCGAGGTGAGGGGTAGGAATTCGAACAACTGTTAACAATATGGAATCTGGCTCCCCCTACACTCAACCACTGTGCCACAGGGCTGACCCAACAATTACATTTTCTTACTAAGGGAATTTTATTAAAGTTACATCACTAATGTTATTCTATAGCCAGAATTTCTTGGCTATCACATTTTATTTCAGAACTTCATTTCTCTAGTTCTTTATGTTACCTTGTTTTTCTTTCTTTTCAATGACTCATCTCTTTCTCCATCATTCCACTCAATCTAGATAGTGCTGATAATAATACAACAAAAAACATAATCTGCTCTAATGAAATCGTCTTGTTAGATAAGCAAAATAAGTAAACAAAAGGAGTGATGAGCGCTGAACCTCAAACCAGCCTCTCCTGAGGCTCTTTATACTACAGTCTTGGGGTGTAAGCATAAAACTGTGTTACAGTGGCTTTCCAGAGTATGCGACACAGAATGCACCATTCTTTTTTTTTTTTTTTTTTTGAGAGGTTTTCGCTATAGGACGCGTGCGCTCGCCAGACAGACAGAGAGAGAGACAGAAAGCGAGAAATCACCCCCCAGGGAGGATGGTCACGCCACAATCCCTTCTCCTCCATTCTCCTCTCGGGATCTTGGGCACGCACGCAGCACACGCGCCCGGCGCGAGTTTTAAGCCACTGGGTCCGGAACGCGAACTGCAGTCTACTACGTGGGAGTCCAGCAACATAGCCATTACGCTAACTGCTGGTTCCAAATGCAGCATTCTTGTCGATGAGTATTTCTATATCCCAAGACAAACATTTTGTTCCACATTCTATTAAAAGAGACTTAAAGTGGTTCCATGAATCAGTTAAGAAATGATTCTGAGATATTCTTAACATTTTTCCAAACATTTATAAGGTAGGAGGCAACATTCAAGGAACTGCTAAGCTGTAAAGGTAAATAAAATTCGTTTCTTGTCCTTTGGACCACATAACAGCTAGAAATCTGAAAATCTGCCAACTGAGAGACTCCAGGAAATGGTGGGAGGCCTTGGGTTCTGATTGTAAGCAGGGGCAGGGCTAGTACAAAGTATAGTGATGCTGTGTTTGGAAGTTCAGGGAGGGAGAGGGCAAGTAGGAGACAAAAGGAATACAAGCCAAAGAAATGGAAAAGTAAACATTTTCCTTTCCACATCATGAGAGAGAGAGCACTTCCAAAGGAAGATTGGTATCTGGATGAAGGGCCACAAAATTCTTTTCTAGAAGTTTCCTAACAGCAATCTCCTGAATCCCTCTGGCTTCATTTCTTCAACCTAGGATTCATTCAGGCAACCCTACTGAGTACCTAGGGATCGGGCACTATGTCGCATAAATAAATGAATTCATACCTGGTCCTCAAGGAGGTAGTCCAGAATTTCCTATAAGAAACCATCCAATGTACAAAGAATTACCCGGAGACAATGAAAGTTCTACCAGAAGCCTACATGGCACTGTGATAACCCACTGGAGGGAGCGATTTACTCCTGCCTGGCAAGGACTTGATCCTGTCTTCCTCCCACAGGAGTCCAGGATGGGGAGATGAACAGGAGCCCACCAAGGTTAAGAAATTCCACATTCCATACATTCCGCAGCAGGCCACTACATATGCAGGGACAGAAACCTAAAGAAAAGACCTGCACTTAGTGAAGAAAAGGGCTTAAGAGAGGAGCCCAATGTGGTTCAACACCACAGGAGATGAGCTGGAGAGAGAGGCTCTGAAGTCATTCTGTCAAGTGACATGCTGAGGATGGTGTCCTTCATCCTCTAGGTCAGGAGTTGGCAAACTACCCCCGCTCCAGACCAATGCTAGTCTCCAGCCTGCAACCTGCAAACTAGAAAAGTTTTTTTAACACTGGAATGGCTAACAATTTAACAAGGTTCTTACAGTTGAGAAACAAAAAAATATTTTGTGATATGTGAAAATTACAAAATATTCAAATTTCAGTACCCGCACAATTTTCCTGAGACAGAGTCACAACATTTGTTTACGTATTGTCTATGGCTCCCTTCAAGATCCAAGAACAGTGAGGAGTAGCTGTGACTGTTTCAGGATGACATGCCCCACGAATTCCAGAATATTTACTACCAGGTCCTTTACAGGAAGAGTTGGCTGACCACTGCTCTAGGTTAATGACTCAGTATGAACACAGCCAAATGGTTACACAAGATAAACCCTTAGAGCTAATGAACAAAATATTAGAATGTTTATTTATATGTATGAAAGAAGTCTATATTTTCAAAAGAAATTAAGTTTTACTAATATTTATTTTATGGATTCTTCGTACTTAACTCTGCATTTTGATGCCCAGGCCATGTGTGTGCTGTCCCTACAGAAAGGCAGGAGTTCTGCACAGTGACTGGCTCACGCTGCAGATGACTGAACCTCAACACCTACTCCCCCACTTGCTTTCAGTGAACTGCTCTGTATTCAGTTTATAGTGTACCTGATGTCATCAGTGTAAATTCTGCAAGGCCCTTAATGAACAGAATCATTATTATACTTTCTGATAACTGGAAAATGACTATAAAAATCTTACAGACTAAAAAAGGGTTCAGTTTGTCTTATAAAAATAAACGTAGAAGAAAAGAACTACAAAAGATAAAGCCAAGCCAGTGGCTGATACATACAAATTTCATATTAAATACTAAAAAAAGTTCCAATATGTTAAAAACAATAAAGGGGCTTGAAAATATGAGTAAGGAACCAGAGACTACTTTTAAAACTAAGCAGATGTTTAAAAGAATTCAATGCTTTAGAATGAAACACATGATTGAAAAAAAATTTTTAATTCTAATTCAATGGTAGTATCAAAAGCAAACTAAACACCACGAAAGAGAGAATTAGCAAACTATAAAATAAATCCTTTCTTTTCATTGTCTGATCAAATACTGAGAGTTCTGTGTTGACTGTCTACTAGAAACAGAAAAACAAAGTAAAACCAACACATCACTCAAAGTTGTCTTTCTCACAGGGATAGACAGGCCCAAAGCACAGAATTCAGTAGTGAAGAATAAAAGTTGGTACCTATTGCATTCTTACTCTGCATAATACAAAGTGTTACATGTATTATAAATGTCTTCTTTTATCTTCACAGAAACCTAGGAAGTACAAATATGGAAAAACAAAAAGTCTCTACTGTAGCACATAAGTTCACAAAACACGTATGTATACAAATCAACATGTAGTCTCCATGTATGCCTGACTCATAACCAAGCTGATACACCCAATATTTGTAACCAGAAATACACCCTACTCTACACTCAATCCTTCTCCTTGGTAAACCATAAACTACCTGTTGACAATGACTCTCCCATTAACCAATCCACAAGCCCTTTTCTCAACTAGGTCTCAATCTTTGACTTCTGTATCCGTTTTAGCAAGCATCCTGCTCAATCAATTTATAGAATCCCCTACCCCAAACTTGATGTCTATACCCTTGGCCTGCTTTTAGCAAGAAGCCTATTGTGCCATTTGAGCAGGATTCCTCCCCTGTCCTTGAAATCTCCTCCTAGTAATTTTCAACCCATTAACCCCATCACTGAGCTCCTTGGTTTAAATTCCCATGTGCCTTTATTACGTTTGCCATTGAGCCTGATCTCTCATTCCCACTGCAATACCCATATTGCAACTGTCTAGAATAAAGTTTTTCTGAACAGTTTAATAAGTGTCAGAATAATTTTTTCTTTAATAATGTATTATAATTTTCTGATTTATACATTCAAAATATTATTCAAATCATTTAAAAAATAAAAGATGTTATATAATGTAATTAGCCTCTAAACTAAAATAACCCTTGAAATCAACATCACTAGTATCTCTGTTATAACCAAGACTATTTTATAATAGAACTTTGTCACTTTCATAATCTATTATCTTCTCATTATATAGGTCTAACATCATGTAGGTCTAACATTAAATATTCTCAAATCCTTACATTCCCTTTTAGAAAAAGGAACTGCTCCTTGAGAAGTTTACTACATAAACACATGCACATACCATAGACTCAAACAATCAAAAAAATGTATTAGATTAGTATTTATGACATGCCTTAAACTTCTACAAGTCCTACATACAAAGATAAGGAGAAATAAAAATATTAAACTGTGTATTAAAAAGTGCCCCACAGAGACCAGCAGTTAGCGTAATGGCTATGTCACTGGATTCCCATGTAGTCGACCACAGTTCGAGTCCTAGACCTGGTGGCTTAAACTCATGCCAAGTGCGTGTGCATGTGTGCCCAAGATCCCAAGTGGAGAATGGAGGAGAAGGGATTGTGGCATGGCCATCTCTCTCTGTCTTTCTGGCAAGCGCACGCACCCTATAGCAAAAACTTCTCCAAAAAAAAAAAAAAAAAGTGCCCCACGGATTGCTGTCACAATTTCCCCCTGGAGAGAGAGGATTAGCAGTGTCTCATGAATGAAAATGGCCAGTCTTTGAGATGGACCCTAAAGCACAAGTGTGTGCACATGCAAAACGTCTATATGTTGTGTGTGTGTAAATCTTTTATATGTTTACTTACCAGTTTCTCCAGCTGTTTTATTCTTCCCATGAGGTTTATATAGAACGTAAGAGCATCCTTTAACATGGAAGTGATCATTAATTTGTCTAAACCATCTGAAAATAACAAGAAGATATGCTCAGAGCAACAGTTTTATAACAAAAATGGTACTACTCCTTGTCTAGACAAATTAAGGCATAGCAGAAGTTTCGCAAATCTGTGAAAGGTTGGAGACTAGCAGCTGGATACATGGGTCTCTACTAGCATTCATCTAGAGCATTATACTTTACAGAACTGGAATTAAGGTATTGCCTATAAGTGGGGTCTTCATACCTCATGAGTGTTGTATTTCCAGTGAAGGGACCAAACCTAATATCTTCAAAAGGGGGTTGAAAGCCCAAAATATGTAAAGCTTCTTCTTGGGTAATAGGTGGAAGACTGCAAAATAAACATTGCCCTTCACTGTATAATTCCAACCATATAATTACAACATATCTCAATGTTAATATGTCTAAAACAATTTAAGTAATATTATACATTTCACTTTATTGAAAATAATGTGTGAATTATTTCTCTTAATCTTAAAGGCTTATAACAAAATATAGCAGTTTTTTTCTTAATTTATGAAAATCTATTCTAAAAATCCATCATAAAAAAGCAATATCAAATTACTTCCCAATATGGAATTTAGGAATACAAATAAATTGACATACTTACTTTCCAGCTCCCATTGTGCTATATAAGAAATTCCAACAGGAAATTAATGAGGAGATACCACAAGAAGTCTTATATTGTGGTCGGCTTATGCAGTACCTAAGAAAACAAAAGACTGTTTATTTAAATGAATAAGAAATAAGCACAAAAGATATATAAAATGGATAGAAACTAAAAGTGTTAATATAATTAACACTTTGATCATTTGAATCAATGTAAAATCATTATTCAGTAAAACATTTTTGTATTGGTTAAGCGTATTATGAATGCAAATAAATCAGGCATTTGAATTATGACTAACTGCTAGTTAAAGTGGATGCTATCCAAGTCAACGGAAAAAATTGATGACATAAAAATTTAAACATTAACTATTAAAATGTCAGTATATGCCTACTTGAGTGACATACATGATTATTTGCAACTTCAGAAATATTGGAGAACCAGAACAAAGTATTGTCTACATGCACCAACATTTCAGAGAGATTCTTCAACTCGAAGTAGAAATATCCATTTATCCCTGTGTCCATGGAAAGACAGAACAGTGGTTCTACTATCACAGAGGATTTTTAAAGACATAACACAAAATCCTTCTATGACACAATTTAGTTGTATTAAGTAGCCCAGACAATTTTCCAAATAGATATTTCAAGAGAAGAGATGAAGGTTAACATGAAGAACAGGTTATTCAATTTTAAAGAAAGAGTAAGGTTGGCTTTCTCAAATTATCTTTTCCTAACTAGTGAAGGGCCTTATGAGTTGTCAAATGAGAAAGAAAAACAAGCCTTATATTACTAGGTTAAGGGTAGTTTTTTTTATTTATTTATTTTTTAATCATTTTTTTCCATACATTCAATCACATTATTATTTGTCTTACAAAGTGGATATTTCAACAGGTGAATATTTCTCCCTAGTACAGTTGATAAAACTACAAAATATCTTCAACAGATAATATCACACCTCTTTGTGCCATTAATGCTTTGCCTCCCTATCCCTCCCCCAAATGTCCTTCCTCAGGACCCTTCTCTTTCACACATACTATATCTGATATTTACATCTATATACTGTGTTTCTATATCCTTTAGTCAATCAGTTTCAGTCATAGAGTGCGGACACTCTGTATATATTAAGTGGGGACATACAATGCCTCTCCTTCATAACCTGCCTTGCTTCATTCAGCAGTAAGTCTTCCATATTCATCCACTTCCTGTCAAAAGCCAGGGTTTTGTTGTTTTTTGTGGCTGAATAGTATTCCATTGAGTATATGTGCCACAGTTTTTCTATCCATTCATCTGCATTTGGGTTGTTTCTACGACTTAGCAATTGTGAAAAGTGCTGTAATAAACATCGATGTGCAAGCACTTTTCTGATTAAGTATTCTTCTGTCCTTTGGGTAGATATCAAGGAGTGGGATTGCTGGATCATATGGTAATTCTATTTGTAGGTTTTTGAGGAATCTCAAATTGTTCTCCACAGTGTTTGGACCAATTTACATTTCCACCAACAGTGTAAGAGAGTTCCCCTTTCACCACACCCCCGCCAGCACTTATCGTTTTTTTTTGTTTTTTT